GTAGGTGTCTATATACCATGGTGCATGCCAGTGGTTGCTGTGGTTGGTGGTTAAAGGGGTTCTTATTAGTTGATAGCCACATTGCGTTGTATAGTGAGCTGTGTGGTTCGATGCAATTCATTAGTACGAGCCCATACGCTGTGGCCCAGGTTTTGCAGTGCAGTATGTGACCAGACATTCAGCAGAAGGGCGTGCACACACACAAACACACCTGCCATTGCGGGATAGGAGTTGTTATTGTTTGTTTAGTTCAATGTTGTTATTGCTTGTTTAGTTCAATGTTATTGCTTGTTTAGTTCAATGTTGTTATTTCTTGTTACGTTCAATGTTGTTATTGCTTGTTAAGTTCAATGTTGTTATTGCTTGTTAAGTTCAATGTTGTTATTGCCCGTTTAGTTCCATCGCCCTATCTGATGGTCTATGTCCTTGTCCTCCCCCACGCAAACATGAGGCGTGCCCCACCCCATCTGAGTGTACTGACTATCAATCGACTTATTTTTGGGCTTTACGCCCAGGCTTAGGAGATGCGGAGCTCAACGCCAAGGCAGCGAATGCACTGGGGGCCCTGTGCATGTCGGATGAGATTGCGGCGTATGTGCTTTCGGGTGAGTGGTATAGGTCGGTCGTGGTTGCTGGCTGTAGCCGCGTAGTCGGGTGGCTAGTGTGCAGATTGTGATCTCCTTGATGCCGGCGTAGACTGTGGTCAGATGTAGTACGTGAGTGTACTAAATGTTCTCTGCAGGCAAGTGCTGTCGTATTAGACCATACTCGGATGACAGATGATAAAATAACATTGCATCTAGATGATAGCGACATATATTGAGACACATATCGATATACGATGTGATCAGCACACACGTGGTGTGTTTCGACATTTGCGTCATTGCTCTGTGCGCCCGCAAGGATACACTTATTTTGTGCATTAATATTAACTTATTGGGAAAAATTTAATGTCTATAGAATACAGGTATCCATGAGACTTATAGCTCCATTCCTATCTTAATCCAAACTCAGCCCTCATTGGTACATTTTGTTTTGAGCAGATGACGTGCGGGGTGTTGTTTTGAGTAAGTTGGAAGGGCTGGCGATGTCACAGGACTATTATAAGATAGGCGACGCCAGCTTCACGCTCGGCATGTTGGTGCTACAGGTAGGTATAATTTCTATATGTGATTATGCATACATATGTACATACACACACACACAAACACGCACACACACACACACAACACACACACACAAATAGGTAATAAAAAAAATACAAGGCTCTTCACAGATCAATACTCACAGAGCTGTATCTTATTCCGATTCTAGAGTATACTACTAATGTAATTCGTTGGCGAATAGGTTTCTGAACCGGCGTCACTCTTCGCAGACATGACAGCGCTCGCGCAGCATCTGAGTACAATGTGCACGGTGTCTATTGGTGCTGAAAACTTCACCGAATCCCACCGCAACATGCGAGTGTTTGTGTGTGTGCTTCTGCACAAGATAGTGGTGGCTGGCTCTTCCACCACACGGGGAATTGTAGGTAAGTTGACAGCACGTGGGCTGTGATAGGGGTCTGCTGAAAACCCTAGGCACGGCTCTCGCTTCGTCAATGTTTATTATTCTCTCCTGGTAGGATTGTTACCATCTTATTCTCAGCTTTTTTTTAGCGTCGTAGTTTTTGAATGGAAAGCTGTCATTCCCATAAATGGCGGATCTGTGCAACCTGTGGGATGAGTACGGCATCAAGCCGTAGGTGGGGTGAGCATGTGTTCTCAGTGATAGGAGTATGTTCGAGAATCCGGTATCTCATTTACACGTACTTCCACTGGTTGTAAAACTTATGCTTTCTTCTCAAACCACAATCGCTATACGCACGCTGTTGTCAGATAATGCCATGCCTATGTGCGGTTCTAACTGCATTACAGCTCATTCTGGACGGCTCATGAAGCATGGTACTCGTATCACTCCAGCCTCCGCCCTTCTCGCGCTTGTTAGGTTGTGTCCTATAGATTGCCCATAGAGTTATCGCTGCCGCACATAGCAATGCAAATCATACGTCTGATGCAAAACGTTACTTCTTTATGAATGCATGAATGGCGCAGTGGATTCTGGCTTCGTGGGTGTGCTGTTGAGTATTCTGCGTAGCCCGCGCTACAGAGACGACCTCCTACACATCGCAATCGCAACACTGAAGGTGCTTTGCAGGTAGGTACGAATCACGCCCACGCTTTTCCAACGCCCTTCGGTCGGCGTGCATGGTCACCTTGTTCTTCAGAAGGTACAATTGCGCGCAGATTCTTATTTATCTCCAGGTGAGATATCAGATACTGTACGCGATTCGTGTCTATCTATAACCAAGCAAGAGTATATAATCTGTCTTATAATCGATTCCTCTTCTTACAAACAAGTGACCGGGCTCTGAGACAGCAACTATTGGATCTGCGTGTGTTGGCATGCATCATTCGCTTCTCAGTGGCGATCGAATCGGAGGCGTGGGGGCTGCTACCTGCAGAAGTGGCGACCATCAAGGCCGCCGCAGGTGGTATATCGGCCCAACTTACCACTCGATGACAGACGCTTAGGTATCAGAGCACAGACTAGCACACACGTACATCTCAGGGGATGCAAATAAGGACTCCAATACGGTGGGTATGTTGTCTCAGATTGCGTTAACGCACAGCTTGAGCTTCTCCGTTGTGGCCGCTACCTACAGGAAAGGTGATCATCACGGCTACCGCAAGCGATAAATCAGCCCAACACACCACATGGGTACAGCAAGCATAGCTGTATGTATACTAAGGTCCACGTACATATCAGGGGGGTTTAAGGTTTACTGCAACCTGTGTTGGCCTCAATCACACACCTTTGCCCTGTAATTTCTGAGGCGTGGGAACTAACGCCCACGAAGTGGCGACAATTGACCAGAGAGCCGCAAACGATATTTCAACTGATTGTAGTTTGATATTGTCACCAAAGCTGAAAGGATAGACACAAGAAGCTTTCAACTGTACTTAGCAACTGAAACAATTATAGAACACAATTTGTGGACAATTCGCTTCTTTATTACCGCAATTGAATCGGCGCGAGGCTGCAGTCGCAAAGAGGGGAATTATAGAGACCGTCGAAAGGGGCACTACAATTCAGCAAGGCAGCCCGAAAATACGATCAATGGACCAAGTTAGGTACATTTTCAGTGATGCATGAGCATTATATGCGGGTTATTCATTTAGTCGCATCTACCAGATCGATTCTATCATTTTGCATGGGTATTGAAACTTGCCAGTGTGGGCAAGTGGCGACCATGAATGATGAAATATGCGATAAGCTGGCAGCTCCACTCTTGTGAGGTGTACTTTGTAAGCAGCCTTGCAGAAGATGTGTGAGATCTTTATCTTACGCCATCCGAGATGATGTGTGAAACCCTAAACCTTAACCGTCAAAGATGTAGGACAGATAATCTTAACCATCATAGAATTGAGGACACAGACTCCCATAGTAGTGCGTCGCTGAGTTGCAATGTTATATTGTAACTCTTGCAACAGTGACCATGTAGAGCACGTCACTAACATAGGAACGTACCACGCCACAACTGGGGTGTTTTATGCCATGATCATGGACGCATGAACGGTTGACATAGAAAATTCGGTACCGCGTTGGCACCAAAGGGCATGCCTGCGATGTGGCTTTCACATGTACCATCGATGACACGTGTAAATTTACACGTATGCAATTCTCTATGTATATATATATAACTATGCCACCTAATTATAATTATACGTCGATCCCGCCTCGTATCATGCAGGTGTTTAACATGAATCGATTAGTACAAGCGTTTATCTACCGTTTGTTACTCTGCTACCTTGTTGGCAAAACAATAGTTTCATGATGTATTGCGATGAGGTAATCACAGTTTTCCGTAAACTGCAACCTACTTTCGAGCACGCACAACTCCGACGTATGGCTTACTGCGCTTAGATTTTTTTCTTTACTATAGAGTGCTAAGTGAGATTTTAGAGACGAGTGCTGATCATTCTTCTGAAATGTGACTGTAAATCCGTCTATATGTCGATATAACACATGATCATACAGAGTATAAATTTCGGGCATATATTATATCAACTCCCTACAGCTTCCAAATAAAACAAGTCTATAGTTACATACTCTTTATAACGATAAAAAACGATGATAGTCCAAGAAAGTACCTCAGGATGTCAACTGCGCTATTTGTCCAGCCTGAAAAATAAAAGATTGAGCGATACGAACGAGCTTTATTTACAACTACAAACTTTAAAGTGCTAGCAATATAGGTACGTACATTGCAAAAAAAAAATTCGTCGCTTAGAATCGGCTATAAATTGCATCCCTCGCTGGAATTGTGTGCGATTGTCGCTATCTTATTTCAAACTAGGGTGAATTTGTACTTCAATAGTCGGTTACCTCATGCCCAATGGCCATCTATTATTCTGTGAAGCTAATGGCCATCTATTATTCTGTGAAGCTATGAAGTGAGTGATACAAATACGAATAAAAGTTGTATATACACGTACATAAATAATTTCAGTATATATGTATTATTGTCTACAACTCTACATATGCAGCGCCATTTCTCAGTTTTAATTGTCCCTCGTGATTGAATTTATGATGGAGTAGTATGTATCTATCTCACGCATAAAATATTCAAGAGCAACACGAGTCACCGATCTATTGGGTGTGCTACTGTGCTGCGCATGCAGGACCAAGTGTGCTTGAGACAAATTGTATTTGTTCACTCTCCGACTCTCCGTCTTACGACCTTCGAGTCCTCGACCTACTTTAGTACAAACAGATAAACACAATAAACTGCGCCGACATTGGGCAAACGACAATACGATATTTCAGAAATGTTGCGACTTTATTTTGTACGATATGTCAGTCGCGAATGGTTACGTCGGATCCGCAGCGAGGCGATATCGTCAGGTTTACATCACGATAAGCTTTTAAAAATAAATAATAATTTATCCTTCATGACTGGCCTGCGCCCTGTAGTCCTGTCCCGTATGTATCACCGACTGTCCGTATCTACGGGGTACATTCTGTTTACTCTATTGCACTCTCTCTCTAGTAGCGAGAGAGAGACTGTTGGACTGTCACCCATAAAGACTATGGGTGAAAGTCCAACACAGGCTCTCTCTCTCTATACTCTCTACAGTAGTAGAGAGGAGTACCCCTTGTCCCTCTGAAGTCTGATGCCTGATGCAGTGATGAGAGAGAGAGAGTCAGAGTCCTGAGACGGTGAGAGATAGTCAGATAGAGAGATGTAAAAAAACCCAAAAAACCAAAAAAATATGGCTGAACTCCTGATCGGAGTTCGGACTACATGTCCTATAAACAAAACGACTAATATTGTAATGTCAACCTTGTTTACCTCCGATTTAGAACAATGTTGGTGTTGTAAGTACCGAACTGTTCGGTAATGTTCCTGGGCGTTAATAAGAGTGCGAGAACTTCTAAGTGTGGGTGATAACTTATAAGTGTGGAAACTAATAAGTTTGAAAAGTTCTAAGTTGTATTGTGCGGTTTGTTGGCGAACGGCCGCGCAGGCTCGGAAGAAGAGGAGGTTGGTGTATGATTGGTGCTTTACGAACCGAAGTGCGGGGTAATATGAGCTGGAGGTAGGCAGATGACGATATATATATTGAATAGACTTGTAGGCTCGAAATTGAGTAGATGCACGATTTGATTAGCGGCAGGATTCTCAAGGAAATCCTTCGGAGATAGTATAAATATGTAGTTTAGTTCATTCAAGAAGTTCATTCTGCTAAGGTAGACGTTTATTCAACTATTGAGGAAATAAAACCAGGTTCACCGTTACATTGTATTTTGAGTCGATCTAAGATTACAAATAAACGTTAGTGGAAAATGGTTTACGAGAAGGATAGTGCAGCTGGGACTGGGCAACCTCTCTGGAGATATGTGAGAGGGGAGCCGATGACGACATTTATGGATCGATGGGATTTCGTCAGGGGTACCAAGGCTTATGAGCTCAAGGCAAAGAAAAGAGGGTCCCGCCCAGCGATGGCTCTTTTGAAAGAGGTTACACCGGAGACGAAGTCGGAATTAGAGGGCTATATTCGCAAGACTGTTATTGAGACGAAGGATCTGTACATCGCGGCTGCAGCATTGTATCCAGCGTTTATGGGCCCATTTGAAGTGAGTGCAACCCAGGCGGATTTAGCGCAGGCAATAGGAGGGTGGGGATCCAAGCCTGAAAAGGTTATTGAGCATCTTCGTGAGATTGATTACTATGGTGCTCGGCATGTTGCGGCGAAAGCTGAAGCAAAGAAAGTGCTCCCAGAACAGAATCCATTTACTGAGGTACCTTCTGAGGACGAACAGAGCGAAAGTGAGACTGAGGAGGAAGTCGCTAAGGACAGTGACAGCAGTGATAACAGCGAAAGTAGCGACAGTGAGGATAAGGATGATAAGAAGAAGAAAGGAGTGCCTGCAGTGAAGATTGCTACAGTAGGGAAGAATGTGGATGTATCAGACAAGCCAAGGGCAGCAGCTAAGTTGAAGATAGAGGCTAGGCAGAAACGGCGTGAGTATGATGCTTTGTGCAAGGTGATTCGTAGGAATGCTAAGAAAGCGAATTAGCATGGGGCACGCTGGATGGTCCCTATGCTGAGGGATGATGACTATGTGGATATGCTGCTTAAATTGGCAAATGATGTGAGCTTTAAGGATGTAGTGATGAAGGGTTTAAAAAGATTGACTGAGCGGTGTAAAAGTCTGTTGAAAGCCTTATTTGCGAGTCGCAAATCAGAGAAGAACATGGTTCTGAGAATTTTTGAGGCAGGAGGGTTGGGGCAGGTGCTGGAGCAATTGTATGAGATGAGAGAAGACGACACAACGCGTCAAGGTGAGAGGGAACAAGCGGACCGGGGACATCAGGCGAGGGTAGCCGCGAGAGCAGGACAGTTGCAAGCAGCTGCAGCTAGACAGGAGTCCAGGGAATCAGGGATGACAGGTCTGAGAGGGGCGTGCTTGTTTTGCAAGCAGGATGGTCACTATGTGAAAGAGTGTCCTGTGTTGAATGACGTGGTGTATCATACGTGTAGCAAGAGAGGTCATACTGCGAGAAGCAGCGTCTGGGGAGGTGCGTATGAGTGCACATGGGACACCTGAATTGTGACATGCGGCGGCGGCTAGTTATGCAGGACCAGGCCAACCGTTGATCTATAGTTATGTGGAGAGTGAACAGTGTTATGTCGATATGTTTGATGATCAAGGCGCCAATATGTCGATGATTTCTAAGGGGTTGGCAGAGCGTCTGGGGCTGGTTGCTCAGTATGACTTGTGTGGAGAGTGGGTTACGGGATTTAGTGCTCCACTTTATGTGAAATACAAGGTGTGAGATGTTGCGGTTGTTTTGCCTACTTTACTAGGAGAAAGGATGGTTAAGTTGGATATGTGGGTTATGGATTGGATTCCACACAATGCGGGTATGTTGTTAGGTAGACGTGAATTGAATGGGTATGGATTAACTGGGGCAGTACTCACTAGGCAAGGGGTGACTAAGTATACACTGTTTCCGGTTGAGGCGGTAAGAAAGAAGCCATCAGACTTTAAGACCTAGCTGAACAAAGAGGCGTCTGAGCCGGTGTTAGAATATATTCAGCATGTGGCGGCGCCGTTATTATAGCAGCGAGCAGAACAGGTAACACCATTTGGTAATATGCAAGATGATGGGGGTTATGATTCAGGTTATGAAAATGATGGATCCGGGGGTGAGGACGATTATCTAATGTTCGATACGAGTGGCTTGTAACTGTTGGCTGAAAAAAAAAATGGGGAAGTCTATGGAAGAATTGGTAGAGTTGATGGCGGCTATTAGGAGGGTGGCGTACAATGACAAGAAACCGAAGTTTGTGAAGGATCGAATGCTTAAGCTTCAGATCAAAGAAGGAGGGGCGACTTTGAGACAAGTATATGCGGAGAAAGATGTGCGACTTATAGAAGTGATGAAGAAGAAGGTACAACTATTGCTTGAAGCTGGGTTGATAGAGAGGGTACAAGATACGGATTGGCTTACAGTGCCGAAACTTGTGCCTAAAGTGCCGGGTAGTAATTCCAGTTATGAGGAACCCAAGGATTGGAAGGATGTGCTTAAACTATTTGCGTACGAATTATCAACTAAATTCGGGTACATATCCGATACCTATTAAAGGAAATACGACGTACATTGATGATACCGCGTTAGGTTCGAATGATCCAGCTGAGCATTGTGATGGTATTGTGGAGATGATTAGGTGATTTGAGGCGAAAGGGATACAGTTGCGGCTGTCAAAATGTAATTTCGCGTGTCGAGAAGATCCTATAGTCGTGATGAGCTGAGAGGTTACAGATAAGGGTTTGATGATCAGTGAAGTAAAGCTTTAGGCGTTATTAGATATGTCCAGGCCCAAAACCAAGGCCGAAGTCAGGTCGTGGTATCAGTGATTTGGATGGTGGGCGAGATACGTTCCGAGTTTTTCAAATGTGTTGGTTCCGATTGGTGATTTGACTAAGAAGAAGGTACGGTTCCAGTGGGGTCCTGAGCAGGAGTGTAAGATTTGGTCTAATAAAGGCGATACTAAAGCCTTAGAATAAATAAACGCGTAGGTATATTCTATATCGTGTAAATATCGATATAAATAAATGAAATGAGACGTTTAATAAGGTTAGGGTTGCCTCGTGAAAACATCAATACTCTGAGGGATTGTGAGGCTGAAACATTGCCTATATATAATCCTCTCAGTACTGTTTCCGCCGAAGGGATTTTATTTAGTGTTTCGTTGTCGCTCTATTCTGGGGCGAATCCGAGAGACTCATAAAATCCTATCTTTAGAAAAAAGAAATAAAAATAAAAATACTCTTGACGTCTTTAGTTATTGTCTTAACCAATAACTTGCCACTATCAAGAATTACCGACTTAGCCTTCATCAGACTGACACATCTGGTTGGCTTATCGGAGGATCAACGAGGTAATGTTAATAGTCCCTAGTAACCTATATTCGGTTGAGCCATCTCGCTACCGAAGTATTCAGATATAAATAAAATTGGAAAGTAAATAAAGCTCTATTAATAGAACTAGACCAACTCTTTTATGTTTGGTATTTTACTGAGGCCTTTTAATGGCCTCATCCAAATATCTGATATGTTAAATGGAAAAGGTTTAATTAATAAAACCATTAAAAACCATTTTAGGAAACTTAAGTTCCTCGTGCTATTAAGAGCGCATTTA